CATCAACCTTCATCCGTGGACAACGAGAGAACCTGGTTTCGGAGATTTCTGGAGATTGCGACGCCGTCATCGGTCAACGGCAACACAAGCAGACGCGCAAACTTGGTCATCTACACCAAGGTGCTGAGGGTTCACGTCGTATACACACGTTACCACCCCTGTGGCAGTAGCGGGTATCTCTGCGGTGAACTAGCAGCAAGGGTCTTGTTCGCGGGAGTCTCGAGCGGCATACGCATCGGGTGTACAAGGAACTACACTGTATCATCAGTGGAGGCGATCAACAACCGGAGTACTCTATATCAGTAGCAGGGGCGGGATCGGAAACAAGAAAACCATAACCGGAGTCCTCTATATCAGTAGCAGGAACGGGGTGGGGAAGTCTCGGGTACAGGCAGTAGTACCACGAGCAAACTTACTCCTGCAGCAGGACGTACTTTTATCAAGACGAAGAAAATAAAGCTGGATCGAGCAATGGATACTGCAACGAGCAACACAGGAGGTGGAAGCGCGTTCGCCAGCGATAGTTCTACGAACCTGGCAACCGTGATCAAAGGCCTCAAGAAATTCGACGGAAAGACCCAGCTGAGTTCAAAACATGGATGAAGAATTTCTGCGTGGTGCTAGGTGTGACCAGGAAGGACATCCTGCCACTGGTGAAGAAACAAAGGAAGCCAGATCCCACAGACACAGCGGCCTTCGACTCNCAAACGAAGATCTCTACGCCATTCTTTTCCTCCTAGTGGAACTTCCAGCCGCCTTGTCGATACAGAAGCACGAAGACGACACTGGCATCAGCGGCGACGGACAAGCTGCCTTCGAGGAGCTCTGCAACAACTATGACAGGGTAACGGACGAGGTCATCAGGGCCAAGATGGAGGAGCTGGAGAACAACCCCATGAACCCTGGTGAAAATCCCGACGACTACTTCAACCAGAAGCACCTACTTCGCACCCAGCTGGATAAGATGGGAGAACACATCTCTGACCGCCGCTTCAAGGACATCTGCGTACAGGGCTTCTCCGACGAATACAAGGACGTCAAACTGAGGTGTTCAGAGACCCAACCTTCAACGTCCTGGACATGCAATCCACCATGCGCAACATCGTATTGGACGAACAATCGCACAAGGGATGGAAGGGACGCATAGCTGGTCGAGGATTTGCCATGGCAACGACCGCGTCTGACATCATCTGCTACAGCTGCTACGAGCCGGGGCACATCAGTAGGAACTGCCCCAAGATCAAGAACAGGGCGAAGAAGAAAACGAAGCCCGCCGGAGCTACCAAGTGGTGCTCCAAGCACAACACCNGTATTGGACGAACAATCGCACAAGGGATGGAAGGGACGCATAGCTGGTCGAGGATTTGCCATGGCAACGACCGCGTCTGACATCATCT